GGATCATGAGATCACAGCACCTTCAGAGCTCCCCAGAACTGTTGGCATTTGTACCACCAGTCAAAAGGAGGAAAACGACGCCGGACTGATGAATTTCCCCAGTTTCAGGTGTAGGCCTATATATATGTACATGTGTAAATGAGTAATAAGTGCACTGTGATGATATTTTTCAAGGATCCTAATTTTCTGTGATTCTGCATTCAAGCTTCAATATCTTTGCTTTGACGGAGCGTACAATGATGCCACCACGTGAGTGTTTACTTTATCCTATTTTCATCATATTTCCTTAATTTTGTCAAAATCAAAAGCAAAGATCATGTTCAATTTTTACTTAAAACATCAGACCCGTTTACAACTTTGCATAATTACTATACAGTTTTATGGCATCCGTATGTCTGTAACAGTACCCAGTACAGTTTCCCGATCGCTTCTACGTGCCCACACTATATTGATCGTTCAGTGTATGTGATTTTCTTTGAGACCACTAGAATAGTTTTTGTTTACTGCCTCAGTTTATACGCTTAAAAAACATCGTGTGATAAGAAAACAGCCGTAACTCGGCATCGGCAGTGATCCGGCGGTGCTGACCCGGTGACCGGGGTCACAGAGTATCGGGTTACGGGGAGTGCCGCGGGCTGGCGGTTTGACTAAGTTGGCGGTCGGTAACAGCCGTGAGTGAGTCGTAAGTGTCATGACGTGGTGGAATCAGGCGCTCGTCAATTTTTGGGCATATGAAGTTATAGATAACAACTTAAAGGTTGTTCATTTGCCTTGTTTTTGATGAAAAAAATATCTATTTATCTTGAATAGAAGTTGAAATATTTGCCATTGAAGGAAGTGGGTGGGGTCGCCTAGTTTCAGAAATAAAACTAGCGAGAAAATGGCCCCCAACGTTTGGTGACTTCCATAGCTCAAGAGTCCTTCGAAACGACTTTAGTCGCCGACTTGACCAGGCACACTAAATATAATTAAATAAATAGGCCTAACAAACTGCACTGAAGTAAATACCAAAGAAAGTCACTATATGATAGCTGAAAGTTGATGAACCTCTGTGAATGTGTTTCTTGGGCTGTGAAGGTTGGTTTTTTTTCAAGTTCTTAAAAAATGTTATCATGGCTTCAGCATTCTAAACTGGTGCGGTTCTTGAGGGTTTTTCACAATATAAGTAGGCCTACTGTAAGCGTTAACCCTTAAAATCCTTTATGCTAAAAACAGGGGATATAACTCCAGATGACTCTGCTGCGAGCAGAAAGTATCGATAAAGTCAGAAAAGCAGTTCTACACCAAGGTTTGGAATTTTTGCAAGTTTTTTTTTTTTTAAATGAGTGACCATCAGGCTGCAATATTTTTGACATTTTTTATCCTGAAGCAGACCCCAATGATGACTCTCAGTCGTTTATTTCGATAGATATGACTGTTGAAGACGATTGCAATGTTTTGCATAACATCGATGATGATTTTGATGATAGTGGAAGTGGCAGGGGATCACCACTAGAGCTGCCAGAGGCTAGGTCTACGGCTGGGTCTAAAAGTGCTTAAACTGAAATGGAGTCAGGGATCATACACAGGTACAAGACTTTACTTATAGAGTTAGTCCTTAAAACCAGTGTTTTTACCTTTTCCCCTTTTGTCCAGACTGTGCATTCAGATATAAATAACATTTTCAAATTTCAGTAAAATCTGCCAGCAATTAAAGACACAGTAAATAAAACAATGAACCAGCCTGATTTTTTTCTAGTATCTCGATTTTAATTCAGGATTCTTGAGAGGTATGAAAAAAAAAGAATCCAGGGTTTTCAGGGTTAATCAACGTTTTTCCATAAAATCCACACATAAAGGTGTTTCTGAATGGACATACAAGGTGTTGAGCCAAAAAACAAAAATTTGAATTTCAAATTGACCGAAAAATGCTGATTTTTTTCAATTTCATTTTTTTGACGAGCGCCTGATTGCACGACGATGCCTCACCTATTTGTAATCTTATAAACTATGGTCAAAGAAACAAACAGGTCTGTGGGAGAGCCACTGGGAAAACCAGAAAAATAATAAATTATATGAAATTAAACCCAAACTAGAACAGCGAAATCCTTCGGATCTCTCCAGAAGAGACGAAGTCATTTTTACTCGATTGCGCATCGGACACACGGCCCTGACCCACAAATACCTCCTACAGGGAGATGAGAAGCCGTTCTGTGTCGGATGCGACACAGATTTTACCATTAGACACATTTTAACAGAATGTCTAGACTTTGGAGAGATCCGAAGGAAATATTATAAATGCAAGAAATTGCAGGATATTTTTTCCGTCGTTGTTCCCAGCAGAATTTTAAATTTTATAAAGGCCATTGGCCTTTATGGCGAGTTGTAGAGTGAATTTGATATTATTTAAAATTTTTATTGTTACTTAAAAGTTGTTTTAGATCACAAATATATTTACACCGAATTTGAATATTTTAACTTTTTAGCATTTTAAAGTAAATTAGTTAGCCAGTCGTGAAGTGAACTTTCGCAGAAGTGAACAACTTGTGTTTCGCGCGCTCATATGACCTTAGCAGTTGCGAGCGCCGTAAAACCTTATACTATACTATACTATACTAAACAAACAGGTTCCACAGTTTAAACATCTGATGCCAAATGTTCCACAGAAATAAATTGAAAAATTGGAATGACTAAAGATAGTTTCAATAAAATTAAAATGGGCCAAATCCTGATAAATTGGAATCCCTCAGTGGCTACGAAAATGAAAGTTCTGAAGTACTATGTGTGGTCAACCCTTCTATACGGCTTAGAATGCTGCCTATTCACTAAAGAATGTTAAAATAAAATAGAAGCAACAAAAATGTATTTTTTTGGGAGCTGAGAATTTCTTGGAAGAAAAAGAAATCAAATGAGGTAGTACTTGAAGAAGCCCACGTTTTTGCTGGTAAATTTGAAGGCAAAGGAAGCAGGGCTAGACTCTGAGCAACTTACTAGGAAAGCCTATACAGAAGTGAAAGAGATCGATCAGGATAATAATAATGTAGCTTTTTGTGAGCATCCAAGCAAAGGAATGAATGGCAAGCCAGGAACACTGATGCCTTCACAGATGGCACTTGATGAGATTGTGATGACCAACTGATACAGGAAGCCAAATTTTTCCCTTTTTTCATAAGGCTATCCATTACTTCTCCAAAACAAAAATCATACTGTTCAAAAATACACTTCCTTATCCTTGTAATCATTTAACTGTTACTTCACTGAACGTTCTTGCTATAATAAAGCCCTTAGGTTCAATAATTAGGAAGCACGACGTTAACTACCACATGTACACGGACGACACTCAGCTGTACAAGTCTGTGTAACCAACAAATTTCAATTGTCTAGTTACCAGCATGGGAAAATGTACTGTGGAGGTAAAAAAACTGGATGATATCAAACAGACTTAAAATGAATGATGATAAGACCGAAGTACTGTTTTGCAATGCCAAACCAGGGATATTGCTTTGCAATTTTGACCATATATGTATTGGGAATGATAACATCTTTTTCACAGATAAAGCAAAAAATATAGGCGTTTATTTTGACTGCAAACTCTCTATGCACCATGACATAAACCATCTATGTAAAATAATCTATTTAGAACTACGCAGAATAGGACAAATGTCAACATATCTTAGTGTTGATTCCAAGAAAACCCTCATCTCTTCTTTTGTCCTTTATAAGTCTAGACTACTGCAATTCTTTGTTTGGAAACCTTCCCACTGAAACGTTAAATAGGTTTCCGCGGCTCCAGAACCAAGCTGCTCGCATAATTTTTTTTTTATCTCTCAAAGAGCATAACACCAATGCTATTTCAACTACATTGGCTCCTGGTGAAAGCACGAATTCAGTACAAAATTTGTTCTTTGTTTTAAGTGCGTCAACAACATTGCACTATCATATCTTTGTGACATGGTCATTGAATATATACCATCTCAGCGTTTAAGATTGGCGAGGAAAAGACTTTTAAGACCTGTCCAAAGCAAAAGTCAGAGACTTGGAGGGAGAGCTTTTTATCACCACGCCCCCTCCCTGAGGAACGCTTTACTAGCTCATCTACGGGAGTCTACCACTTTATTAAAAATTTATATCAGCACTTAAAACGCATTTGTTTCAGTCCAGCTTCAATCTGTAATTTCCGATATTCTTAATACAAATATTATTATGTTCTCTAGGTATCTATTATGTTCTTTCAGTATCGCTCATTCATGCTGTTCTGTTCTGTAAGAATTTATGACTGTGTGAATTCATCAATGTGTGCGAGGGTGTCTGGGTAAGCTTTGTGGGATTGTCTTTACTCAAGGATATACTGGAGAGAGAGAGAGAGAGAATAGACAGAGAGAGAGAGAGAGAGAGAGAGAGAGAGAGAAAGAGAGAGAGAGAGAGAGAGAGAGAGAGAGAGAGAGACAGACAGACAGACAGACAGACAGACAGACAGACGGACGGACAGACAGACGGACGGACAGACAGAGACAGGGTGAGAGAGAGAGAAAGAGGATTACTATAGGAGCTGTGCGCTGCATATGTTCTTTGTATTAAATTACAGTGCATTGAGCACTTTTTTGTGGAAATGCGCAATATAAAGGCAATTTATTATTATTATTATTTAATAAAAATGAATGCCATTTTATGTGCAAAAAACACAACATCGCAGATGAGAATGTCAATCAGGCCTATGAGAAACATAGGTACATGACCGGAGCTTGACCTCATCTTGGAGACCAGATTGGCTAGTAACTAAATGATCTAAAGTGGAACAGTCGTGAGCTGTGTGTGCAAGACTATGAGTGACCTCATGTGCCTAAATCAATACCTTCTTTCTTCTCTTGCGCAGGTGTGGAAGTCTGTTGACTTCCTTTCCCAGTGGGAGGGCGAGAGTCCGGCCCATAGATGGTAGGGGATAGCCCAGCTTCTTGCAGAACTCTCTGAAGATCCTCCATTTCACGGCTGGTGTTGGTGCCCATCTGGCCAGAGTAGGCTAAAAAAAAAAAAAAAATACTCCATTATTAGTCCCCACTACACTTCAGTTGTACAATAAGCTACAAAAATGGAGTAACGCCTGATGACTGGTGGTTTCCTTACCTTGCCACATTGCTTAAACATGCAGCAGACCTTGGAATCCTGAGGCCTTAGTCCCCCCTGTGCTTTAAGATATAAGGTGATAAAGTGTTATTCAGAACTGAGGGGGGGGGGGGGGGGGGGGGGGGGGAGGAGACTATCAATGTATTAAAAACAATTCACAAAATTTGGTTTTAAATTTTTTTGCCAGCCCTTTAGCCACACTTGAATTGAAAGGGTGGGGGTGGGAATGGGGGTTTCAAGCTTCTACTGGCAGCAAAACTAATCATATACCATGCACTAGCATGTACCTCTGCAAAAAACTCGCCATCTCACTGTAGCTGATTACATTTATAGTTCTCAATACGGAAAAACTATCGCTTTGTGCCATGTTTTTTTTCCCTCAAAATGTAAATTGTACATTATAAATTAACTTTAGATCGCTAAAACCCCTTGACAAGTGAAGATTATTTGTGAAAAAGCGACTATCGTGGCACAAGACGATCGCGCCCGACTTGTAGCTTAAAAAGGAAACGTGTTTGTTTTCAGGCGGCCAGTCGGGCGATCATCACGACCCAACCCAACCAGATCCCATCCGCAACAGGCACCCGGTATTATAGTTGATAGAAAGTTTTCAGCCGAATACATTATACAGAGAGTTTGACTACATTACTCATGTCTTGCAAAGCACCAAACCCTTAAGCTTTGAGCGGAGGGGAAGCAGCAACAGACGTTATTATTGCATTGTGATGTCTAACTGCTTCTTGCACTCCCTTCACCATTTCATTGATGTAAACCAATATAGGCCTATCGGGCACCCAGCCTCTTAAATAACCTGATAGTATTGATAGGGGCATTAAATCTATACTGCTGCTCTTGTGAAAACTGCTGCGAAATATCTGACGATACACACGCAACTTTTGAAAGATCAATACAGCCTTTGCATACTTGCAGCCGGGGGGGGGGGGTGTACCAAAAAAAGCATTTCTTCAACTCAAACGTATTTATAATATTTGAGTTGAACTCAACATAACTGTTTGAATTAAACATGTAAAGCAAAAGAGGTGTAGCGGGACCTGAGAAAAAGTTCAGCTTAACCAAAGATCAACTCAAGTCACTTCAACACAAGTGGAGTCCACTGTATACCAGAGTTAAAGTTCAGTGTATTAATGGTTACACAATAATATAACAGTGAGAAAGCTCATGGTGATGATGATAAGTCATCCCCCTGAAGAAAATATGGAAAAAGTGGAACTGCTATGGTTTTAAAAAGGCAACTATTTTCATGTTGAGAATTCCATTAATTTCACAAAAGAACTTTAAGTGACAAAAGTAATTGTTCATAAAAACAAACTATAAATGTATTTTAAAAAATACATATATAACATCCAGTCACCCTACTGTTCCACATTGTCAACAATCTTACTACTAGAAGTATGGAGGAAAACAGAAATCACACTTCCGCAACAAACTCAAAGAAGGAAAAAAAAGTTAACATTTATTTTCATTTTAAAAAGTACATTCAATTCTGCATATTATGTGCCAAAGATACACCATTCTGTTGTAAAATAAAGAGGGGCCATTATAGTACATCCTACAATTCCCAGTTATTACCTTTGAAGCTGGAAATTTTATATCATGACTTCTTGCTCTCAAGCCTCCTGCAATAATCTATCTCTTCTAGATATATACATAATACTATATACCAATGGAAAGGGAATTGGACAGTCTTTCAGACATAGGTAACAGATTTCATATTTTACTTGTTACTAAAAATAGATGCAGAAATAGAAATCGGATTTCCCTACCAATCACAAAGAAGGGGGAAAAAAGTGTTTGACAATTTAGAGTTAACATTCATTTCATGAGAAAGTTCATTCAATTTTGCATGTCATGTGTCAAAGACTCTTCACTGTTCAAAAATAAATAAACAAGTGCACCGTTCTTGTGCATTCTACAAATTTCCACATCTTGACAAATGCCTTCAACAAAACAACACAAAACTAATTAGAATGTAATACAATGATATTAAGTGATAAAATAATTCCCCCCCCCCCCCTCCCCTGAAATCAGCAAATTTGCATGAAACAAGAAGACAGTGGCATTCAAGGAATGAAAATGATTGTTCTAAAGTTGAGTTTCAGTTTAGTATGGGGTTTTACGGCACTCGCAACTGCATAAGTGTTCAAAAGTGAATGCCGAATGTTGTATCATCTGTCTACCCCATCACAGGTTTATGTACAAAACAATTTCTCTTCTGGCTAAAACAGTCAACAAATCAATAAAACTCATCAGGGGTTAGCTTAGTCCAAGTGCTGTACAGTGACGGCTTTTCAACACCTTGCACATCTGTATACCGATTGATGTAGCTGCATATCTGTCCCACCCTCTGAGCACAAAAGAACTGCTTGAAAAATGCAGCTGGGTAAATTTTAATGCTTGAACTGCGGGGAGTTAATCTGGCCTCAATTAGTGTGGAAAAAATCGAATTAGTGAAGACAAATTGATACAAACTGCTGTGCAAAGTAGGGATGACACTGATTTACCCGTTCAAGAGATATTTGAGGATGTTGTTGTTTTGTTGTTGTTTTCAAATCCCTTTAGCTGCGAGCATTTCGCTCTTGGCAGCGCAATGTCTCCCTCAAGTAACCACATGTCCTTGTCAATGCCAGAGTAGAGCAGGCTTTGTAAGTCTGTAGGTGTGTGTAGGAGCTTGTGTCGAAGAACTGCCAGGTTTGGGCAGTGAAGGAGAAGATGTTCAACGGTCTCCTCGTGGTAGTCACAGTGTCTGCAATGGGGTTCCCACATGGGGTTGATTCTGTTTATGTGCTTGTTGGTGTGTAAGTGTCCTGTGCGGGCTCTGAAGATCAATGTCTGATCGGCTCTACATAAAAGATTCGAAGGGTCTTTGGGGTTGGGTTTGTCCATGTACCCGAAGAGAGATCTTCCTGTTTCTGCGTTGGCATATCTGTTAGCCACTCGTCTCTGTTTTTGGCTTGGATGATCCCTCTGCAGGCCTGTAAAGAGGCGGTTGTGTCTGTCTGGGGCAGGCTCGCTCCAGTCTTCGATAGATGGTCTGCAGTCTCATTCCCTTGTACTCCAGAATGGCCAGGCACCCACTGCAGTGTGACCCGGACGCCATAGGAAGTGCCCATCTGTTTTACAAGGCTGAGGATGTTCCCGTCACCTCTGTAGTCTTCTCCTCCTTCGACGGCTTGGAGTACTGACATTGAGTCAGAGAAGACAACAACATCCCCTGGTGTTATTGCGCCTTCAAAAAAGTCTTGGGCGATCTGTTCCAAGGTCTTTACTATGGCGATTCTCTCTGCGTCATAGTTAGAGCTGTATGTCCCACATGGGCCAAATAGTTGGGTCTGCTTCTTCTGTCCAAGGTTGTTTCTATATTTGATGGTAGATCCGTATCCAGAATTCCGTGTAGCGTTTGTTGCTGACCCATCTGTGTATGCATGGATTTAAGTTTCAGCATACGAATCCACTGTCTCCAGGGCGCTAGTTCTGAGGATTTCTTGTGGTGTGGTCTTGAAACAAGAAGGGTCTCGTCCTTATTGTGATTTCTGGTGTCTGCCAATATGGAGGTTCGCTGCTGATGTTGGTGATTGGTTCTCTGTTCTTGAGTGGGTCAAACTCCTCAAGTAGTTTTGTTGCTTCTCGCATAAAGGAGGTCTTCTGGATGCATGTTCTTGGTTCCCACTCATCTGCCATTTTCCTGTTTTCGTTCGTGTCTTCTAGCCGCACAAATCTTTCATAGGTTTCAAGTGTAGCACTCTTTCTTCTGAGGTCCAGTGGTTCTATGTTGGTGTGGATTTCGCAGGCGCTTGTAGGCGTGGTCTTCATCACGCCAGAAACAAATCTGAATGCTTGGTTCTGTACTCTGTCAAGCTGTGCCAGGGAATTTTGGCTGGCTATGGATTGTAGTGGTAGGGAGTAGTCAATCACAGATCTGACATACCCTATATAAAGTTGTCGGAGGGCTGCTTTGTCAGCTCCCCAGTTGAGTGATGAAAGGTGTTTCAGGAGGTTTAGTCTGCAGGTGGCTTTCTTGGTCAGCTCCCCTAAGTGCTCTTTGAAAGACAGCTTTCGGTCCAGTTGAACACCAAGGTACTTGGGATAATCCTCATGTCTGATGGTGGTTCCATTGATCTTAAGGTTTACCTGACTTGCTGTAACTTTGTTTTTGAGGCTGAAGAGTCCAAAAACAGTCTTGTCTGTGTTGATATCCATCTTCCATAGCTGGCAGTAGGACGAGATAGTAGTCAGGTCTGCATTGATGGCTTGCTCTTATGTCACTTCCTTTGCTCCATATGAGTAAGTCGTCAGCATAGAGTGCTTTCTGGCAGGAGATGACATCTGGCAAGTCGTTCATGAACAACAGGAAGAGGGTACAGCTGTGTGCTGACCCCTGTGGGAGGTCTTCCTCGAGTGTCCTCTGTGAAGAAATCTTGCTGTCCCATGACGTCTGGATAGTTCTGCAAGACAGAAAGTTCTTGATCCAGCTGTACATTCTTCCTGCTATCCCAAGCTTTTGCATTTTGTAGAACAGTCCCTGTCTCCACACATGGTCATACGCCTGCCTCAGGTCGATGAAGACAGCCACAACATTGTCTTTATCTTGAAAGGCATCGCTGGTCTTCTGGGCAAATCTGATGAGGTGGTCCATAGTTCTTTTGCCTTTCCTGAATCCTGCCTGAGATGTGCTGATTGTTCCGGTGCTTTCCATCCACCAATACAGTCTGTCGTTGACCATTCTCTCGACGACCTTCCCCAGGCATGATGTTAAAGAGATTGGTCTGTAGCTTGAAAGCTGGCTTGCTGGTTTGTCCTTCTTTAATATCGGTGTGATGTTTGCTTTCTTCCATTCTGTTGGGAGCTGTCCCTCATTCCAGGTCCTGTTGTAGAAAC